CAACAGATATTGGAAATGTTGCATTTCTTGCTACAAAGTTCTTATCATAGAATGAACGTACGTGGTCGTTACACTGCATATATCGAAGTTGGTTTGATCAGACTGCAGGGGTGTCCACTGGTACCTATGATGAAGTCCCTTCTGGTTGCTAGACGCCTATATGTTTTACTGCATGTCATGCATAAAAGAGTGAGCTAAAGAAGGGTCTGGAAACTTTTGCCGAACGCAAGACTTGTCTATCACATAGCACGTACTCTGTTTAATGAGAAAAAACCAGTTTACTATTTGGCAAAATAGATCCATATGTAGAAACTTAAAAAGCGTAAATTCCACCATTTCGAACAGAGGTACTATGGATGTCATCTTTTGTACAGAAATGAGATATGCAAAGAAACCTCACCACACAGATCCAACTATCCGGTGAAATAGGCTAATAGGCCATGCATGCTCTGGAAAATAGAGCTAAATTCAATCAGCCTTGACAAAGACAACATCCATGAATTTGATACTACTAAAATTTGCAATCCACAAATCACACATACTTCATACATCGATACTGCAACGGGAAGACATATATATACTACAACATAGATGAACCTTAATAGTTCTGTATCCAAGAAGAAGGCATCAGGTTTAGAGTAATTGCGGTCTAGTCGATGTCATTATTTTTATGGAACTTACATTTAAAATGCAGATTGAGTGTTGAAATCGTGTTCATGATTGAAGACTTCCTGCAAACATGAAGTTTTAGCAAACTTTTGTGTAGACTATCACTAAAATAAGGTTAATCAAGTATGACAATCAATTCTTTTGCCTTTAGAGGTGTGAGAATTGGTTGCTCAGAGGTGGAGAACTGAATGGCGTAGAGATGTAGTAGTATCATGTAGAAACAATGAATTTGACCATAGCACCATTGTGCTAAGAACGTGTCCACCATATAGTAATTGGACTTACCTTGGAGGCCATCTGAACTCGCTGCTTTGAGCTGGAGGAGTTAGGATTATATCTGCTTGGCCATTAGACACCCCGTCCCTGTTGAATGCATGCCTGCATCACATACTTCACAGTACACAGCATTCTCAGTTAATAGAGATTACATGGCAATCTCCCAGAAAAAAAGTATATAAATCAATAGTCCAAAAGGATTATGTCGAAAATAGTAATTGCAAGGACAAAGCACCTAACACAGACAAAATCTTGGGGCCAGCACGAATCTCAGAGCAGGGGATAGAGGAGGATGACACGTGCTGCGGCCCGCGAGCGGAGGGATCGCACACTTGCGTCCCCCCCACCCCACTCGTTGGCCTCCACTCACACTCACACCAGTCCAGCACCTCCTGTTCTTGTAGCGTAGCAAAGCGAAGCGTTCGGCAGCACCTCCTGTTCTTGTAGCGTAGCCAAGCGAAGCGTTCGGCAGCGGCGAGGGTTTTGGCTCCAGCGCGGCATCCCCATCCACCTGCCTACCAATGGCGGAGGGAGACATGGCCACGGCACCACCCAACCCCAACACCCCCTTTGCGGACGTAAGTGTTCCTCCACTCGCCACACCCATCCCCACATCTAGCCAGTGAAAGATCTGTTGGTGATTTGTCATATCTATTGTTGTTTATTGCGGTTTGTCATATCTGTTGGCGACTTCTTATTTTCCTTTTTATCATGTCCAGACGCCCTCGGTCGTATGGCAACTACGCCAGAACAGCGAACATATGGCGAGGGAGCACAAAAAACCCTCATGGTCTGGATTGATGGACTCTTGGAGCTGAGGCTTCCCCCGGTTTGAGTACACGGATGACAGCGGCAAGACCAATCATCTGCTACAACTTAAGCAAAACGCTTCCCCCAAATGGCTTCACAACCTACTGGATTTCTTAAAGAGTTTTCCTTTTATTTTATTTGTAATTATGTCTAACTGATCATTATAAACAAATATTTAACATCTTCATTCAATACTAAATAAGACACATCATACATACTCATAAACTCACTAAATATGAAAAAATTTCACACTAAATATGTGATGCTACTTTCATGGCTTTTGATAACTCAGTAACTTGGTATATGACATGAACACTCACGTATATATAGATATTTATTAGGGGCTTAAGCGTTTCTACCCCTGTTTTGAAGCGCATTGGTGATTTTGTCCTCGTTTTTTAACTTTGTGATTTTACCCGTGATTTCAAAATGAAGGAAGACTTTACCCCTGGTATGTGAAGTCCCTCTAACGGTGTTAATTTTTGGATGCAAGGACAACTTTGCCGATGCATTTTTACCCCTGTTCTATTATGTTATTTGTGTTTTTACCCCTATTTTAATGGCTCAACTTACTTGTCTTTGTTGTACTGCAGCCTAATTTTGTAATACAGTTATGCAGATGACTAATAGTGTCGATTGTTGCAACTAAAAAAACAAAAAAATGGTATCAGAAATACATATACATGATCAAATATAGTACATCATCTGAGACGAACAAGAACTCTTAGCTTCTTTTAGCGAGTTAACTCAATACCTCGCAGGGCTGTTGAATATTGACAGAATCTTCAACAACACTAAAATAATCTAAAAAACAGAATATGCAATTTATCAATTATTGGCCCAATTGTCAAGAAATGCAGTGTCACACAAATAGCTTACAGTAGCTAAAAAAATTAGCGACCAACTACGATTCTCAACCATATGTAAGAATTCAGGAATACTTTCTATATTTTTAGAATGTCCCCCATGTTTATCTATTCTTTATATATTTCCCATCATACAAAATATCTAGATCTAGAATATTCCATATAGAATCTCGATCGTGTTTATATATTCCATGGATATTTCCCATCGTGAAAATATCAATATCTAGAGTATTCTGTTGTCTAAAGTACGATTTATGCATACTTGCCATTTATCTAGAAAATTTCTCACGTAAGAGATTAGGAAGGCAAATGGATCACACCCCCAACATTTTTTGTGTTATAAAAATATTTCGTTCCTCTTAATAAAATATTGTTTTTCCTACTCTACAACATTTAGTTGTTGCTAAGTAAGAAAAATATTCTACTGTAAAGGGGTACGTAAAAAACGTTCTATGTGTAAGAAAAAAAATCATTTCTTCCATAGGAGACAGCTAGTGTAATGTAAGAGTGGCAACATTCCTAGTTCCTTAATTATATATTACTAGCAAACATGCCGGTGCAATCCAGCGGAACCCAATACATATCAGAGTAATGCATGTCCAATGGAACCCAATACATATCAGAAAAGCAACCAATGGCAACGCCCGGATAAGCTGAACGACCGAGGATGATTGTGGTGTTGCATTTCAGAAGTGAACCTCAAATGGTGAATATACCACCGATAGTGCCTACCCAATCTGCGGGGAGCTTCCCCATACCCAATATGCAAACTTAATTGGCAAGACTAACCAATGAAACTAATGTTCAACTTTGCAAAGGCTGTATTTTCAAAAAGGAGATGTGGGGCATAATTTGGGTCAAGTTAATTTCATCAACTACAAAAGTAAATGTTCTACAAGACAGCTCAGTCTACAAATACTGGAAGAAATGTAGATCACGTTTTGATAAGACTCAAAATTCCTCGTTTGATGGAATTATATTCAATGTTTGGTGGAATATATATCTGGAAGGAGCATAATCGATAAACTTTCAAACATAAAGAACTACAACCAACATTGTTTCTGGTTAAAGCTGATATCCAATAGTTCAATGTCGTGACACATCTGGTCATTTCCATGCCTTGATGCTTCCACGACAGTGCTTCCGTCTATTAGTTTTGCGTCCTTTGCCCGTAAATCCGGCCTCTAGTGTTTCTTCTTTATCTCAATCTACTTTTAGGTTTTGTTAGTTGGGTCGTTTTTTTTGAACAAACGCTTCATTTATTGAGGTGAAACATTACAATCGAACTGCAGACAACTCTGCAAGAAGCTAGGGGGGATTGAAGTCACACAAAAAAAAAGAAGCTAGGGGGATTGTCAAACAAAATCATGAAAAGAAACTAAGGAGTGCTGGGCACAAAGATGAGTTGCATGGTTCGCTGATCTTCTTATGTACATCAACCTGAAGGACATGAAGCCCGCCACCAGCTCTTCCACCTCGTTCCGAATTGTCGCAATTTCCGATCGATGTATACCTCTGTTCTTCCAAAGAGAAACCAGCACCTGGCAATCTGTCTCGGCTATAATATGGTCTTGAGTGAGTAGAGTGTCTTCTTATAGTCGAGCTCGCTAGTGTGTTTTTTTGTTCTCCAAAAATCGCTAGCAGGACTTCTGCTTGCATTTGTAAATATATTAACAGAGGAGAGAAAAGTGCCAGAGTAAAAATAAAGTAAAATAAAATAGGCATAACTACAACCGAGGTATTATTAATCCAGCTCGCGATCCAGAACATTACAACCTTGCCATTGCCGACCAAGACCTCTGTGGATGCGTTAAGCAAATCAAGATCTCGGCACGACCACGCGGCACCACCAGATTTGACGACACCACCCTTTCCTTGTGCTTCCATTTGAATCAGAGCCGACGAAGCCGTAAACTTGGAATGCCATGCAAGTGCCCCACTGTTCTTTGAGAGGAACAACGCTGTTAGGAGTCAGCCATACATGCATGTTGAGCATGTTTTTCAGACAAATGGGAAACATGTAAAATGAATAATCACGTGTACGGGACCGGGATGCACAAGGCAAATCAATCCGATATAGATCAGTCACTTGGCCTCTCGTGACTCTGTCCGGGACCGTATGCATGCATGCATCAGCTAGCGGTTCAGACACGTGAGACACGGACACACGTTGCTTGCTTGCATACTCGATCTCGATCTTGTACTACTACCAGTAGAGTAGTACCAAATATACCTGCCAATATACTTGTCGCACTGGCTTCAACCTAACCTACACGGGTCGAGTGCTATAAATAGACACCAAGCTGATGCCAAGAAACCACAACCAAAACACGAAGCAGGTGGGTGAGTAGTAGCCAAAGAAGCTCAGCTACGGTAGCCATGGTGTCCTCTGCAACTGAGACTGGAAATGGCGGAAGCATCGCCGAGAGGTGGCGCGAGCTCCAGGGGGAGCACTCGTGGGACGGCCTGCTTGACCCGCTGGTCTTGGACCTCCGCAAGTCGCTCATCTCCTACGGCGAGCTCGTGTCCGCCACCCGCTCCGGCTTCAACAACGAGCAGCGCTCGCCGCACTACGGTCTGTGCAGGTACAGCCCCGACGACCTGCTTGCCAAGTCGGGGGTGGCCGACACCCGCTACTACAGGGTCACCAAGTTCGTGTACGCCACGGCGGAGCTGCTGCTGTTGGGCATCGATAAGCAGACCACCTGGATGGGGTACGTCGCGGTGGCCACGGACGAGGGCGTGGCGGAGCTCGGCAGGCGCGACATCGTCGTGGCGTGGCGTGGGTCGGCGACGTTGGCGGAGTGGGCCAAGGACTTCGTCGAGTTCTTGCCGGCGCCCGCCGAGCCCGTGCTGGGCTCCGCGGCCGCCGCGTACCCGTCGGCGTACGTGCACAGCGGCTTCCTGTCCGTGTACACCACCAGCAACGCCAACTCCGAGCTCGGCAAGGCCAGCGCCAGGGACCAGGTGCTAGAGGAGGTGAGGAGGCTGGTGGAGCTCTACAACGACGAGGAGATCAGCATCACCGTCGTCGGCCACAGCCTCGGCGCGTCGCTCTCCATCCTCAACGCCGTCGACCTCGTCAGCAACGGCGCGAACAAAGCATCCTCATCTGCAGGCGGTCAGGCTCCGTGCCCGGTGACGGCCGTCGTGTTCGCGTGCCCACACGTCGGCAACGACTCCTTCAAGGACGCCTTCGACTCCTTCCACGACCTCAAGGCCCTCCACGTGAGAAACAAGATAGACCCCGTGCCCGAGTACATGCACTGGTTGCCTGACCTGGGCGTGACGCTGCCCATCGACACGAGCCTGTCGCCGTACCTCAAGGACCCCGAGAAGAAGGCCCACGAGCTCGAGTGCTACCTGCACGGCGTCGCCGGGGTGCAGGGAAGCGCCGCCGGTGGAGGGTTCGACCTGGTGGTGGACCGCGACGTGGCACTGCTGAACAGGTTCACCGACGCGCTCAAGGACGAGTACCCGGTGCCGACGAGCTGGTGGGTGGCGGAGCACAAGAGCATGGTCAAGAACGAGCAAGGCAAGTGGGAGCTCAAGGATTTCGAGCAGATATATTAACCTCATCTGATCTGACCACAACATAACCCAGCTAGCTGCTTGCCTCGATCTCCCATGCATGGTTTATATTATCAAAGAATAATGCATACGATATCGCAGCCGTCGATTTCGTATGCTCTTGCTCTTATATTTATGTTTATTATTAGTTTCATTTCGGTGATATGTTTATGTTTCTGTTTGTGTCGTTTCTGTTTTTCGATAATATGTTATGAGGATTCATGTGCCATGTTTACAATTTCGAATAAATAAACATATATTAAATATCCTGATGAGGTTCTCTTCTTCTTTGACAAGAAGTTTGAGCATTTTCCATGATATTTTTCTGTATTTTAAGGGCTCATTTTCAATGCATCCTTCTGCCATAATACTTGATTTTCAATGCATCCTACTTCCACACACACACACACACACACACACACACACACACACACACACACACACACACACACACACACACACACACACATTCATGTAATACCACAAAAATCGACTTGACGCCACTTCAAAATTTTATTTTCTAAGGAGACATTTTTTTGCGCAAGGAGACATTGTTAATGTACCACCTCTATAAATCATGTGTAGGGGCCAAGTACCAAAAACTGCCTTCAGAAAACTACGGAGGTGGATCTCTTGAGAAGACCATCTCTACAAATATGCCATGTTTATAGAGGCAATACAATTGAGAGACCCACCTCTATAAATTCATTACTAAATTCTAACCCTTGCGCAACGATGAAAAAACGTTGCAATAGGCTCAATTTGTTTGCCAAAGGTACATGTTGCAACCAAATCATGTCCGTTGCCAGTGATTGCAATAAGTCACATTGCAATAAGGTATTGCAACCATTGCTAGTTTGGCATTGCAACTGTTAGGGTTTATTGCAACTAGAATTGTTCGTTGCCAAGCATGACAATAGGATGTTCTTGCAACATTCACGGTTGTAGCAATATAAGTAATTGCCACGCTCGCCTTCATAGCAAGAGGTGGTACATGCAACGACCGAGTAGCGTGGCAACAAAGACATTTGCCAGGGACAATGTCGTGGCAATAGCTTGTATTGCCAAGCCATTATTTATTGCCACACCAGCCACACCGTTGCAATAGCACCATTTGCCACGTAATTTATTTCGTTGCCACAGCTCATATTTCCATGCGTAACACAATCATTACATTGGGGTTTATCGCAACAGGAATATTCGTTGAAGCGCATATAGCATTTGATATGGGATTTAATAAATCATTGCAAAAGAAATAGAGCATAATAGAATTGATGCCATACGGATATTAATTCAAATCAATCATTTATTAAATAGACAATCTGTTCACAAATGAAAGCACGGTACACTCTCAGAACTTCATGAAAATTGAAAACTTGCAATACTATAGCACTTCCTAACATCTCTATATATAGCCCTTGCAGAGTGCAGCTAGCTAGTCATGCTTGCTTGATCCGTTGCCCTCCACTCAAGTTTTATCCACCTACACAACAAAAGAATAAGATTGTAATATATTAGTAAATTAGGTAATAAAGTCATCCATGACTGGGCTGAGATATGGACTGCAACACTTAACGGGCTGCCATGAGTTAAAGAGGTCCTCTATTATTTCATTTTTGTTTTTTTCACAGAATTAAGAAATATTTTATAAACTAAAATGCATAGCATAATAACTATGCTCTATATGATCCCTATGTGTCCAACATAATGTTTACATGAACTAGACTACCAAGTTGTGTTCACTACCGGAGACGGCTTCTTTGTCGAGTGTCCCAGACTTTACCGAGTGCTTTTTATCGGGCGCTCAGCAAAGAGGCTATTTGCCGAGTACCAAAGAGAAAGCACTCGGCAAACAACTGGCACTCAACAAAGAGGTGGTTTGCCGAGTGCCGAGCACTCGGCAAACAATAACACTCGGCAAAGACCAGATTTGCCGAGTGTCGGGCACTCTGAGTGTCTTCTCCTAACACTCGGCAAAGTGGTGATTTGCCGAGTGTCATTTTTTGACACTCGGCAAACCATATTTTTTTCACTTTTGATCTCCAAACTTTTTCTGCAGTCCTCATACAATACATGGTACTCCATGTTCCAATGTGGCATATTTCTCGGACTTTTTCTATATTTCTTTAATTTATTTCATTTAATTGAATTTTCTTGGATAATTCAAATTATAACCGCTAGTCATTCGAATAATAAAAAAATGAATGGAAAAATGATATTCATGTTATTTAGTACAGCATCATACATGATAAACTTAATGAAACCTCCTCAATTTTTTATCACACTAATTTCCACATATTGTATCATGACATCATGACCCGAACTCAAGATTTTCGGTCTTCGCTTTTTTATAGAATTTAAAAACAAAATCAATCGCAAGTTCAAGATGTCATGATATCGTATGAACAAGATGTTCAAATTGGTGGTCTGCTTCTCGAAGTTGTCGGCCTCACATTATACAAACTAAATAACATCTCATATCATTTTCCCATTCATTTTATTTTTTCATACATGATAAACTTCAAACCTTCAATGACTAGCAGTTATAATTTGAATTATCCAAGAAAATTCAATTAAATGAAATAAATTAAAGAAATATAGAAAAAGTCCAAGAAATGTGCCACATTGGAACATGGAGTACCAAGTATTGTATGAAGACTACAGAAAAAGTTTGGGGGCAGGAAGAAAAAAAATAATAATGGTTTAACGAGTGTCTGCGTTTGGCGCTCGGCAAAGGAGCCTCTTTGTCGAGTGCCAGGACGTATGGCACTCGGCAAAGAATTTTAATTTTTTTTAAAAACCCCTCTTTGCCGAGTGCCAGGCCGGGTGACACTCGGTAAAGAATTTAAAAAAAATTAAAAAAATACTTTGCCGAGTGCCAGATAGGGGGCACTCGGCAAATTTTTTTTTTAAAACCCCTCTTTGCCGAGTGCCAGGCCAGGTGGCACTCGGTAGAGAATTAAAAAAAATTAAAAAATAGTTTGCCGAGTGTCAGATCAGGGGCACTTGGCAAAGGGGGGATTTAACCCCGCCGGCCCACACACACCGCACACACGCACGCAGGCAGCTGACCGCGCCAGCGCCGCCGCCGCCGCCGCCTTCCCCGCCCGCGCCGCCGGAGGAGGAGGAGAAAGAGAGGAGGAGGAGGAGAGGAGCAAGAAGGAGGAAGGAGGAAGAGAAGGAGGAGGAGGAAGGAGGAAGAAGGAAGAAGAAGGAGGAGGAGGAGGCGTCCCGTCCACCATTGCCACGTCCTCGGTGCTTCCCCAGCCGTCGCCTTGTCCACCGGCGCCCTGGCCCCTTCACCACCGCTGCCCTACGACGCCCACTAGGTATGCCCTACCATCGTCGTCATCGTAGTATTATTAGTAGTTGCGGTAGTAGTAGTGGTAGAGTAGCAGTGGTGGTAGTCGTAGGAGTCGTAGGAGTGGTTGTGACATTGTTATATATATGTGGTTGGATATAATCTTGTGCATGTCGGCCATCGTGCCGTTCATATATATGTGCATGTCGGCCATCGTGCCGTTGGTTTTCTTGCAAGTTTTGGAAACCTCACCGTGCAGGGGAGGTGCTGCCGAAATTTTGTATTGACAGTTTTATGTTTCTTTTTTGTAGAGAAGAGCCCGTCGGAGCAGAGCCGGAGTACCTTGGCAACCCCGATTGCCTTCCTCGCCATTGCGGGTGTTCCTGCACCGCGTCACCTCGCCACTTCACCGACCCGCCATGACCTCGCTAGCCTGACTCCACCGCCACCCTAGGTATAACCCCTCTTTCCGTATCATGGTCGTAGATCACGTAACCCAGTTAGGCGTCTCCCGTTCGAAAGAGATACGGTTGGAAATATGCAGATATTTCCATATCTAAAACCATATCTATTTTGAATTGTCCACATTTTTTGGACAGCCCACGGATGCGTAGGTGGGGTTAGTTTCCATGGTCTACTTCGATCCGAGATAGAGTTTCGGCATCATCTTCCCTGTTGTTCTCCGGATACACACTCTCCCTGGCAGGACGTGTATTTGGAGAATAGCGGGGAGGTGCTGCCGAAATTCTGTCTCGGATAGGAGTAGAGCATGGAAACTAACCTCATCTACGGATCCTCGCGTGGGATTAGGACCTATCCTCACCTATTAGATAGTAGGAACGTCGTGTAGACGCAATTGATGTTTATATTACTCGCCGCTATATATGTTAGAGGATGGAGGACCGTGAGTGGATGTTCATGGGCTGCGCAAGTCAGGGTTAGGTCACTAATGAATGGATCGACAAGACCGATGCTTTCTTAGAATGGGCATTTGGCGTGGCTGCTAAAGGAGCGAGTAAAATTTGCTGTCCTTGCAACAAATGTGCAAACAGGAAAAGACAAACGAAGAAGGTCATGGGGAACATCTTTGGAAGAATGAATTTACGACAGACTATACCCAGTGGGTCTACCATGGTGAAGCCGATCGTATGAGAGAGGAGGTGGTGAGACCACGCGTTGAGGATTATGATGCTGATGTCGGGGTAGTAGACATGTTAAATGACTATCACGAGGCACAGTTCGCTAAAGGACGTATGGAGGAGGAGCCAGAGGCAACCGCAAAGGCGTTCTACGACATGTTTGCCACGGCACAGAAACCCCTTCACGGCTAGAAAAAGATTTCTCAACTTGATGCCATTGGACGCATAATGGCGTTAAAGTCCCAGTATAGCCTGAGTCGAGACGCCTTCGATGGTATGTTGATAGTTATTGGCAGCCTACTTCCGGAGGGTCACCTTCTACCAAAGAGCATGCACGAGTCACAGAAACTCCTTCGTGCACTTAAGATTCCATATGAGAAGATACATGCTTGCCCGAATGGGTGCGTCCTATTTAGGAAAGAATACGTGGAAGCAAAGTACTGTCCAAAGTGTAAATCCTTTAGGTTCTTGGAGGTAGATTCTGGTGATGGCCAGAAGAGGTAGCTTGACATTCCTGTGATAATCCTATGGCACATTCCGTTCATACCGAGGATCCAACGGCT